TAAAGTTTGCGATACCATACTATAATAATAAATTCATACCGTAATTCCTTATCACCTACTGACCCCTCGTCCTCATTAAATCATTAGGACGTAAGTATAGCCTTGTGTTATAATCCCCTGTTCTGTACAATATTACCCATTAATAATATAATACTACTCATTAAATCATCAGCTGGTAAGTATAGTTTCAGGATTCGTTCTAAACTTCATTCATTGATCTGACCAATGCTCAACACATTCTACGTATTAGCATGTAAGTGGTACTTTATTATTTTGCTCATTTTAAAAACCAGTACCATGACCTAAACGCCAAACTTCTTAAAAACTATAGGGTGTAAGTATAACACTATTGTGCACGTTCCTGAAACAAGTATTTCTCGCATCCAATAATCACGCTTTCTTCGATTGAATTATCAGGCAGTAAGTTGGACTTGTATTTCATGTCGCGTAATGCTAATCTTATTAACTAACTAACTTATTATTGTTGTTGTTGTTATTTTCTTCTATCAACAGGCTGTGAGTATAAATTTTGGATATTCGTTTTATGATATCTTAAATGTATCAGAATGTTCTTCCTTTAAACGATAGATTTGTCGATTTAATAGATAGTAAGTACGAGAATTTGTTTCCTTTTTAAAAATTTTTGTTTCATACCAACACTTATCCTGATTTTCAAAATACTATAATTAGGCCGTGAGTAAAATCGTTTTTCTTTAAAACAACTCGTCACCTACCTACCTATCCCGTATTTATTTTCTTTTTTATTTCAAGACGGTAAGTACAAAAGGCTTATCACTATTATTGTCATGTTCGTCATAATTTATCGGTGTTTTCTCATCATCAAATTATTAGTCTGCAATGGTGGTGAGTGTGAAGTTACTCTCTTGCAAGCCGGCGCGTCATTGAAGACGTTGCTTTCTAACCAGCCGATAGAAATTTACTTACCGCAATGATCTATTAATCCTCTTCCATTAAAATGTTGTCAGGCTGTAAGTATGATTGTTATATAAATCTCTTCTTAAAATTAAGTTAATAACTTTTTCTGTTTTTTTTTTTTAAAAAAAAAAAATTATGCTTCCTACTAATAAATTGCTTTTTAAATAATATTTTCTGATTAACCATAAAAGATCGTAAGTATATGCCCGTTTCAAAATCGGTATTTCAAATTTTAAAACCGTTTGCTAACGATGAACTACCTTTGATGTGCCCGTTACCAATTAGCCTGTGAGTATTTATTTCACATTTATTTATCGAGTAATTTCTCATTTAACATTTTCTAATTGACTCATGTTAACATGTAAAAGATCGTGAGTATAAACTCCTCCACAAATAGACATTTCGTGATAATCTAACGGCATCGCATTCCCCCATCATTTTCTTTTTATTTTTACTTGCACAATGCTCTATCGATCAAACTATTAGCCTGTGAGTATAATTTGCGCATCGTGGAATTTCATCATCTTTTATTTACCATTTTATGACAAACCTATTAATATATAAAAGATCGTGAGTATATGTTCCGCAATGTCGGTTTCAAAATCGGTATTTCGCAACATTTATTAACGATGAACTTCCTATCGTGTTCCCCATCACCCATTAGCCTGTAAGTATTGTTTTTGCATTTATTTGTTGAGTGATTTTTGTCATTTTAAATTTTCTAATTGCCTCGTGTAAAAACATATACAAGATCGTGAGTATAAACTTCTCGATGCCTGTCTACGAATCGACATTTCGTGATAACCTAACAACACCTTTCTGCTTGTCAAAATATTAGCTTGTGAGTGTGGGCTTTTGCGCATCGGGATGGTTTTTCCTTTACCCAGCATTTTTTTTTTACTAACTTGCTCTCTATAATTCATGCAAGATCGTGAGTATAAGCTTCGTAGACATCATTCCTTTCTAATTAGATGTTAGGTAATAATCTAACAATGAGACTCGCAAATAATATATGTAATATTGTCGCCGTAGCTTGTAAGTATAGGTATTTCATTTTCGCATTTTATGGTAGTTCTCCTTAAATAAGTTTCTTAAAAAAAAAAAATTTTTTTTTTTTTTTTTTCATTAAATTATTAGACGGTAAGTGCGGGGTAAACTCTGGAGGATCACCGTTTCGTGGAAATCAATTGGACATTTTTTTTTACGGCCATCATTATCAACTAAACTTCTTTCATTTCAAATTCACCTTATCCATTTCATTTTATCAGAATATTAGATGGTGAGCATAAACTTTCCATTTATATTTTAATACTGTGTTCGCGTGTTAACCTTATATGATACGTATTTCCTCTAGTCGATGCGCTCGCCACGAACATCGATCGACCAGGCAAAAATGTACTACGTTACTTCACCTGGTATGAATTTTAAAGTACGCGTGACAAGCATTTATCTTCTTCCGTCAAGCGATTAATCATCCACGATTGCAGTGCTCCTAAACATCTTAAACAAAAATCTTGTATATGCACTCTCCGTTTATGTTATGTACAGTATATGCGACTGAGATTGTGACCGATAAGATAACTTACTGTATTATCTATTTTTTTCTTTTTCCTTTTTTTTTTTTTTTTTTTTTTTTTTTTACCTAAATTACTTATTAAAAGACAAATTCGGTTGTAATTTCTGGCATGTACAGTACCATCATATCAGACTTTGATTGTTATTATTACTGATGGTGAAGACATAAAGCAAATAATTATGGCAAAAAAAAAAGTAAAATAAGTACGCACGCATCGCAAGTGTCAAATCTCCTTCCCATCCATTACCGAGAAACACACGTTACTGTTTTCGGTTCTTACTTGTATGTTATGGTTTTAATACACCATGACCATAGGAAATTTTTATGCGATCAAAAGTGATCTTGATCAGGATCATGTCATAAGAGCCATTTTTTCGGAAAGAAGCTTTATCATTGAGTGATGTAAGGATTGCCTTGCCTTGCATGCTGCTATGGCAAGTTTTAAAACACGCTCACATCGGGCGTGAATCTGATTGAATCGCTTTCGCACAATTCGTAATTCGCGCAGGGAAGATCAAAATAACGATTAATTCATTCATCTTTTAAACTGATTTATTTGGAAAATAATGGTGGCTGGTTTTTTTTACCATATAATAAATGAATTATACAGTATATTAATTATATAATATAATATGCAAGTTTTACGTATTAGGCCATGAATCATAACCCACTTCCATTGTCCGCAAAATGCGCACATTAGGTAAGTTACGTGCCACAGAGTTTGAGAGTTTTTGATATCTGAAAATGTGTAAAGGATCATTTTAGAGCTCGTCCAAATCCATCGCCTCTTACCTTGCACACTTGCTGTGCGCGGGTACACAAGCTTCATAAGTTAGCGGCAGACTCGCCGATTGCCCCGCATCACAACTTATTATTTTCCAAATAAAGAGGATTATTAATTGATTCGCGATAATGAAATATAAATATTTTTAATTTGTATTGTACAAGATTATTGTCCGAGGCGCAAGCGTAGGACGCTCGTGCAAATGTCTTTTCGCATGCGTAATGTGCAACCCGTCATTTTTTGTTAAAGTCTACTTTACCGTATTACTCGGTATAACAACGTTTTAAAATAAAAAAATAAAATAAAAAAAATGCAATAGGTATCTTTGGTGACCAATAAAAAAAAATTATTTTAATTCACCATCCATTTAAAACCTTATGCTGTATACTTTCTATTTATTTATTATTATTTATTATTATTTATTATTATCGTTTTTAGTGGCTATTTTTTAGAGAAAAAAAAAACCAATGACGAAAAATTGATGGAAGAAAGGAATGTTTTTATATTTTACTGTATAAGCCATCGAATCTTCGAAACATAAAAACCGACTGCTTTAAATAATTATAAAGTCGGTATAAAACAAATTGCATTGTTTTATTTCAGGCAAACGTAAGATGAATCTCAGATCATTAGCATATTTTAAAATTAGAAAATTTTTATTCAAACAAACAATTGACCGCGGATCAAGGGGAAGAATAAAAACGTATTTGGTTGTTTACTAGATTTTACTTGTTTGCTATGTTATTATTAGAATTAATATTAAAAATTTAAATGCTGTATAATATCGTCATTTATACCTATGACGCGTATAATTCGATGGTGCATACCCAAGATACCTATACCTTACAATGTTATCAAAAAAGACAAATTAATTAATTAATTAATTACCTCGTGAAGTTGACTCGAGGAATAGACGTATATATCTAGCGCGCTTAGCGCAACAGCCAACTAAACGTATATTGCACGTAATGTGTATGTACCCTTCATATGATTAGTCATTAGGATTACTCAACACGGACTGACGAATGCAAGTCACGTCTATTAAATCTATATAAGGAGATTTTCCATACACATTCGTGATCTTCGCAAAAACGCGATTCAAATGCGGTGACTAATTATGGTGCATTCCGTGATTATGGTGGTGTCAGGGTTAACTCATTAGTAAATGACAAAAATGACATATACGCAACCAATTTGTGTGCAAACACAAAATGACCAAAGTGGTTAGATAGCGTAGCGTTTCCCTGATGGATGTATTACCTAAGTATGTATTGTTTTATCAACCAATGGCGTTGTCTACCGGAAGCCGGGTCGACTGCGCTCCACTAACAATTCATTAAAGTTCGCGCAGCACATTTTATCATCTCGTTTTTTTTTTTTTGTTTTTTTTTTTTGTGCCCTCACCTCTTGTGATCTTACGACAAGCAGTTTTCAACACTTTAAACTCCTGGTGATAAATTTTAAGGTGAACAAAGAGTTTTGACGTTAAAAAAAGAAAAGAGTACACGCTCCGCTTTAAAATTTGAAATTTGACTAATCCTGATCTCTTTTGTTTTTGCCTTTTTTGTATAACGAAAAAAAGAAAAGAAAAGAAAAGAAAAAATATATATCACATTTTTTAGAGAGTGATAACATTTCTTTCTAAAGTTTTTTGATGTCATTATACGAGCATATACTTTTACAAGTGGTGATATTAAAAAAACCATGGATCAAAAAGACGTTGAAAAAGTAAAATTGGGGCCACTCAATGAATCCACATCAAACAATAAAATGCCATTGCCCCCATTCAAAAAAGAAGCGAGTCTTATGTCGATGGATCCTATTGAAGAAACGTCATCGGCCATGATGGTTGAACGTGCCTCATCACAATTGAGCTCATCATTGATGAACGGGCTGGACACATTAGGAATAATTTCTTCCCAAGACAGTGGCATCCTGACAGACGATGATGAGCCAATAACAAAAGGTGAATCAACCAATACCAAGCTGGGACCAAATAAAAGAAGGCGTGATGATATCGCTAACGACGACGATGACGACGACCATTCAGTTGAATCACATGACCATGATCAACCACCAACTCGTAAAAAAGTTTCGACTCAGCATTTTCCCGCCAGAATTAACCCCGATGTACAATTATCGCCCCTTTCATTCAGGGTCAAACAACATGATCCAAAACCTAAAACAATTTACAGATTTGTTCTACCAAACAAAAAATCAACCATTGCCAATGTAGCGGATCAATCAAGATATAAGAAGGGTTCGGGCTTACGCATGCCATCGCAAAAAACGCCTGTCGTCTCCAAAGAGCAAAATCTGTTGCCGAAACGTGGAAGGAAAAAGAAGATTCTTCCATCGTCCTCTCCCCCATCAGAGTCTCACGGGATTTTCTCTGACCTCAGGATTCTATTCGTTCGAAATAATATTGATACCACACGTTTTAATTTGATGAAAGAAAAAGTAAAATCCAAAGGCGGAAACATAGTCGACTCTTTCGATCCAAGTGTCACTCATGTGATCACGGCATTACCGGGGAAAAATGTACATAAGGCTCTAGGTCTTTCCAGTAACAAAAATCTCGAGGTGTCGTCTTTATTTCCTTGTTCTTGTTTTTGTTTGTTTTTTTTTTTTTTTTTTTTCACATCCTCCAAGCAGCAAATCATAAATGCGTTTTTCATATCCTAGGGAGTTCATATTCTTCAACCAAATTGGATATCTATGTCCATTACCGTAAGTTCGAAGAACGGATAATCACTAAAATGATTCGGAGGGTATGTTTAATCCGCTAACATTCTCATCAAATCTTTCTAACAATTACCAATGTAGTATAACAAACTTGCGGACATGAATTTTTACGTTGTGCCATTGTCAGAGGAAACTAACCCACAACAGACAGATAAAGATTCGTCAAATGAGCCGACGATAGGTGCTAAGAGAACAAACGAAAGCATAGTTGAAGAAAAAGATAGTGAGAATAAAAGGTGAATGTGACTTTAATTTTTTGAGGCCAAGTTTTTCCCTCGAAATAACAATTAATATTTTTTTTTTTTCTTAGTTCCCGTAAGATTAAAAAGCAGGCTTTGTCTTCAACTCCGGAGAAAGACTTCTCTCCCTCACCACCGTCGCAACCAATGCCCAGCAGTGATGAACCTATCGAAGCCGCTCCATCACCTCCGCCTGTGGAGAAGGCCAACACAATTTCGGATGGTAATGATCCATTATTGGAGATGATCAAAGAAGCCAAGTATCTTGCCAAAGAGGTAATTGACTAATCAACTGTCCGAGTACTTGTACTTGTTAATAATACATAAAATAACAAAAATTTCATCAAGGGCCTCTACTTGGAAGAGGAAAAAGATGATTTGAATGAAATTTCTCGAAATGATTTTTTACAAGACGATGACTCGGACTTTGATGTGCCCGGCGACAAAACCACCAGTGATGAACAACCTTCTGAGCCTTCGACGTTTGTTTCAAAGGTAGAACCACTATCTAGTTATTGGCTTGCGTCTACGATATCTTTTGAAATCGTTCGTTCATTTCCATCTTCTTTATTTAATACAAAAATTTTTAATACCAAAGTCTAGAGAAGGATCATTTGCTTGTCTTAGCAAAAATACCGCGGAACTTAAGTATAGCAATCCGAATAAACTGATAATCGACAAGGTTTATATAATGGTGGCGTCTTTTTGTGCGATGAATGCGCATCTGACGGGTTCATTTCTTTTACATAGCTTCAAATTTTGTTGGACCATTATCAAATGAGAAAAGATGAATGGCGAACTTTAAGTTATCGTAAAGCCATCTCTGCACTAAAGAGGCGTGAGAAACCTGTAACATCGTATGAGGAGGCAAAAAAGATTTATGGAATTGGAGAAAGCATAGCATCAAAGGTGATATAAAAGCTGTCATGTTTATATTGTTGGAAATTTCACGGAATGTGTTCTAATAATTTCTTATTTCGACAACAGATCGCGGAAATTATAAAGACAGGAAATTTGAGACGCATCGAAAGCATCTCAAAGACCGACAAGGTCATCGAAAAGTTTAATGCCATACATGGTAAATGGTGCTTGCATTATCGCGTATCTAATCCTGCCTCACGTGAAAATACTTATAGCTTTTTTATTTCTTACGAATAAAGGTGTTGGGCCGTCGGTGGCTTTAAAATGGTATGCCAAGGGTTATAGATCGTTCGATGATATATTGAAAAATGTCGAATTAACGCACACGCAAAAAATTGCAATCGATAACTTTGATGTAAGTTTTTAATCATCCTTTCGTGAGTTTGCTATGAATACGTATTATATAACTCCGCGTACAAACGAAAACGAATTTAAAGGATCTTCAACAACGAATACCACGAGACGAAGTGTCAAAGATTTCAAAAGTAGTAGAGAGTCTTGCTCACATTATTGATTCGAGATTGGAATTATTCACCGTCGGTTCCTATAGGAGGGGAAGTCCCACGTGCGGGGATATTGACATCTTGATAACGAGAAATGACATAGATGGTAAAACTCATTTAGGTGGGTTTGATTTTTTACCACTCCAAATAACTAGACTCTTTCTTGTTCACAATTTTGTTTTCAATCAAGGTATCCTGCCAAAGTTGGTTGATTCTTTACATAATCATGGATTATTGACTCATGACTTGTCGCAACCCAGCGAAGATCACCTCTCTTCAAGATTTATGGGAATTTGTAGGATTCCCGGAGGGAAGCATCGTAGGATAGGTGTGTGTTGATTTTGGCCAACATGTCAATTCTCTTTAATATTATATTATGGAAGTGCAATTACCAAATTTAATTTTTAGATTTATTCACTGTTCCTTATAATGAGTTCGGCGCAGCACTGTTGTCTTATACCGGAAATGATATATTTAATCGAAGTCTGAGACTGCTCGCCAGGAAAAAGGTAATAATATTTACGCTAGAAATATTCTGTTTACACTTGCGGCTTGGAAACATTGCCCACAATATTTTCTAATTCGTATTTAGAAAATGAAACTTAACAGTCATGGTTTGTACAAAGATGTTACTCGTGCCCCAGGCGGTATTGGCTTAACAGATGGGAAATTGATTGCTCAGCAAACGGAGATAGAAATATTTGATGCTTTAGGAGTTCCATGGAGGTAATAATTAATAACATCTCTGTTATGATTACTATCATTTGATCTTAATGGTTCGAAATTTTTATCCCAACAGACCGCCAAATGAACGCAATTGTTAAAATAATTGTCAAAATCAAAAAAAAATTCTTCAATATCACAAACTTTTTGATGCATTTTTTTTTTTTTTATTTTTTTTGAAAAAGAAATCATTTGAATACTCTCAAAAATACATACTGTATATACAGTATAATTGGTTTATTTATTTGTGTTCAATTTTTGGTTTAATTCTTCATTGTTTTATTAAGCTCGGATTTATATAATTAATTAAATATCAAAATTTCCAAACGTTTCATATCATAAGAATCAAGTGGACATAAAGGAACTTGACTCTTGCAATAATTACAGGTTGTGGTCGTTTCCAAAAGTTTCAACAACTCAATAGATTTTTTATGTATCTAATTTTAACAATACCGCGGTTGATTTTTTATTTTACTCTTTAAAAATTTTTTCATAACAATATTACTAATCTTATTGTTATTTTTGAATCTTATCTTTACTTTACTATTATAGATTATATAAACATTTCAGGTTTAAATGTACAAGCGCATTTTTTATAATAACATAGATATGAGTATGTCTTTTATTAATATGTTTATTAAAAAGCAACATTTAATTCAGCAGTAACGTACTATTGGTAACATGCGTTTAATTGAAAGGAAGAGTTTTTACGCAAGTAATTTATAAAATAAAAAATCCCTTCCAAAGTTGTATTTAAAATTGAAAAAATTGCAATAGGTGATTAAAATAAAATGGATAGTTTAATTACTGTATGTTTATCATCTCTTCTTAAAAGGACATTTAATTAGGATATTCTTTTTACTTCCAACTATTTGAGAAATCAGATTATTTTTCATTGGTTCATATTATACGATATGAAAAATATTTAATTAGAATAAAAAAAAAATTGTTTTTAAAAATTTTATTTAATGAGAATAAGAAAATAGGAAAATATAAATCTTGTTTGATTATTACTTGGAAATTTGAACAAGTATTGAAGTCTAATATAAGAAATATTTATTTGCTTATGTTATTTTTAATTCATAATTTTTTATAAATAAAACTAGTATGATTAAAAAAAAAACTATTTTATAAACTTTTTTTTCTTATTTCTAATATATTAAATATACTATATAATTGTAACTAATAAGAGTTTATTCATATTTTTACAATCAATAATATTTTATATTAATCAATGATATTTAATAATGATTATATTATTTATAAAACCTAAAATCAAATTAATATAAATTAAATTAAAAAAAACTCTTTCCACTGATTTTCTGATCAACATAAAAAAGATGTTTACAAGAAGTTTTTACACTTCTTTGCTAATAAAGTCTTAATACTTTCCTTAAAGCAATTTGAAATATAACTTCAAGAGTCACCTCTACTCTTTTCCTTTTGTTTATAAACCTTTTTACTTAAAAACTTGACTCTTAGTGATCAAAAAAAGTCAAGTAATACCTTTAATACCAATAGTAAGAAAGTTTCTAAAGGAAGACAAACTAATTGTATAATATCTAAAGATCTATTTAACCTTTGAAGCAAGAGATTTATAGAGGTTTTCTGTAGTAAAAATACTTATTTTCTTTCTTTTTGACTGTCTTGACCCTCTTAAAGCTTTCACTTTTATGGCTTTCTGAAAATTTTACTTATCTCAGTTTGATCCTGAATTTTGGTAGCATAAATTCTTACCAAAAGTGATTAGCTAATATGAAACACATTAGTTTTTGGAATATAAACTTTCTTCTATTGGTCACAGTCACATGTTCTGATAATATTATTAATAATTGGAAAGAAAGTTTTGAAAATATTTGTTCTTAAAAACTCAAGTTCTTTAATGAAAACTTCCATAACACCAAAAGATCAAATAATAGGTAATATGAATTGCAAACTTCCATCTCTTACCTAAGTTTCTCAAGTAGTAATGAAGCTTTAATGATAAAAAGTTAAGATTTAAATGCTTTTCTTAAGATATTCCAATCTAATGCTTACTTAAATAAAAGACCAGTTAGATTGACTTATCCAATGCCATAGGTGATGAAAAAGAAAATTTCTTTCAAGGTTCAAATAAATTAAGAAAACTATTCCAATCAAGCAGATTCTTTTTGAGAAGAAATTGGTTTTATTTTTAGATTTTTTGGTAGGCCTTGAATTGTTCTCTTTTTTTCTTTTTAATTTAGCAATTCATTTATTTTTGGACAATCAACAATAACAAACTATTGGCAATAATTCTAATAGATAAAGGTTATTATCAATCTATTAGAAGAGTATAATATTGTTCTTAAAATCTGATTTAGAATACTTATATATGAAGACGAGTTAAATACTTTGTGAAATTTGTAAATTATTATAGATTTACTTTAATTATTCAATAAAGACAAGCTATCATAGCATAATTGTGGATTAAAAAAAAAAAAAAAGAATTAATAACTACCTTTTTTTAAAACAATCAATATAATAATTTTAAAATATCAAATAATCTTTATTCAAAATTGAATTAATTCTAACTTTAACTATTAGAAAAAAAAAATTAACAATTTGCTAAATTAATATTTTGATCTTTAACTTATTAAATTGCTTTTTTAATTAGTAAAAGAATATTTATCAAATGAAATATATTATTATTTTTTAAAATACTTTTGATAATAAAATTCTTGATTTTATTATTATTATTTTTAAAATCTTTTAAAAATAAAAAATTAAATTAATACAATAAATATAATAATATTAAATAATATATAACTTACAT